TGCCTCGCCATTTCTAACACCCAAAGTCTCCACGGCCACCTAACCCTTTTTACGATGTTGATGCTTGTGAAGTGCAATAAAATTAAAACTAAAGATGTACCCTAAAATTTTAATGATTGTCGTATGGGATAAAACAACATAGATTATGCCCCCATCAAGTGTCACGAGATTATACCTTTGTTTTCCTCTCGATTGTGTATCATCTTGGTAGGAGAAGCAACATCAGGGGTAACCCCTTTATTGATGCAGCTTAATGTCACCATATCATTTGATGAGCTTCTCATTCATGTCATACCCAAGTGAGTCTAAGTAAGAGCTTAATCGATAGGTCGAACCCTCCCAACCTCTGGTATTTCACAAAGGGGAACGCAATGAAAAACATATCGCACGGTATATGGTGGTTACCTTAGGAATTACGTAAACGATGCTCTCTACCCCACAAACCGGTAGTCGCGCTTGCCAGCGACAAGAGAGCGTCAGCATCTTTGGCGAGGGTGTTGCGTTAGCGCAACGCCTGGTTGCTGTTGATTTGCTTTTCATTCCCTTTTCAACTCTATCGTTCTTTCTATTTTTGCGCCTTTTTGAATGACCGACGACCCTTGAGATCCAACTACCCGCACTTCTGTCCCTTTCACATTTGGTGAGCGGCGCCGCGAGGCCCTAGGTTTTCATTTCGTTAGTGCCATGGCGCGGCGGGGTCCAACTAAAGGGCCCAGTATCGTTTTGCGGCGCTTCAAACTCTGGCCTGTGCCAAGTGAGGTAGGCAGATTGGCTTTTCAGATGCACATTTATTTTCTTGGGGCAGCGCCGTCGGCCAGTTGGTATCAGTAAGATCGTGTTGTGAGTGCACGTGTGAGTGGGTTGCGTGCCGTGTGTGGGAGAATGTTGGCCTGAGACACTACTGTTACTCGATGGGGGTGGGGGAAGATGGAAAGGGAGGCACAGTTACTGGCAAATGCTAAGTCCTTCTGTTAGCCAGGCCCCCACTGGCGGCCCCAACCCTGCCTCCTAACGGTCGGGCAAAGGGGCAAACACGCCGTTACGCCTCTCCACGGAGAGAGGTAACCGCTCTTCACCGAAGCGAGTTAGAAAGCTATGCTTGCAGGGGTCCCCCGTATAGCCTTAGGAGTAGTGGTAGGTAGGTAATGAGGTGAGAGAATAATATACGGCCAGTCAAAAGAGTATGCGAGGTGAGAGAATAATATACGGCCAGAACGGAAAACGGAAAATCCCGACGGCGCTGCCCGACGTTAGATTGGGAAACGGAAAATCCTGACGGCGCTGCCCGGTAAGGAATAGGCAGGCTGAGCCACGTCGAGCTCGTCCAGACGGGCGTGCGGAGGTGGAGTATGGCCCTTGCCGCACAACCCACCAAACGTGCACAATGAGAGCGAATCTGCTGCAATAACATGGAAAGATACACCGCCATGATTGTTGTATTCTGTGCATTTGGTGCGCGGTGCGGCGAGGCCCCCTCTCTCTCTCTCCCCCTCTTTTTGCCTGCAATGTCGTGGCTTTTTTTTTTTTTTTTTTTTTTT